TGTCACTAATAAAGAAGACGCACAGACTGTAGTCAGAATTCTTACACAGGAGATAATACCCAGATGGGGATGTCCGCGCTGCAGATAAATTCTGATAACGGACCAGCTTTTGTGGCCAAGGTATGCCAAGACCTGGTAAAAGTACTTAGATTGGAAATTTGGTTCATATTCCCTATCAATCCTCAAAGTTGGGGTATAGTAGAAAGGATGAACAGGACATTAAGGATAAGTTGAGGAAGGCCACTGGAGGAACCTATACCCACTGGAAGAAGATGTTACCTGCAATTCTAGCAGAGGTAAGAATGACACCTAATAAGACTACAGGGTTATCTCCTTTTGAAATATTAATGGGAAGAACCGTTCCCCCACTCCTTGGGCTAGACAGCCACTTATGTTAGAAAGAGGGGACCCTTGACCTGGTACAACAAGCATATGTGAGAAAATTGATTCAGACTTTAGATAAGGTTGAAAGAAATGTTGCTCGCACTTTTTCTTTATCTTTTCAGGAACCAACACACCCCCTTTCCCAAGTGGGGAGATGTCGTAGTGTGGTCCGCCAACTCGCTAAAGACAAAGAAGCAAGGCTACCCCTTTGGACCACCTACTGCGGTGATAGCGGTTACCAGAACGGTTGTTCTGGTGGAGAATTCCCAGTCCTGGATCCCATGCTAGTCGAGTGAAGAAGGTGAACCAAACACCTGAGAAACATGAGATGGAAAAAGGAGGTGATGGAGTTATGTAGAAAAATCCTCGAAGAGCGGTGGTGAAGTCGGTGAGAAAGGCCCTGAAGATGACATTCCTTACTGCCCCTCATGGTGCTTTGAAGCTCTGGGTCCTATTGGGCACACTGACTGCTGCTTTTTTCCTGCCAGTATGGATCATAACTAACTGTATTTATCACCCTGAGGACTTGGGCCTAATAAAAGGTATCTGTGGTCAAGGACTAGTTTAAATGAGACCCAGATAACCAAAAGTGAAAGAAAGTCAAAAAGAAGTTTTGAAGAGAACAATCCTTTTTCAGGAAAATGTAGATGATGCAGTTTAAATAAATCTGCTTATGCTCAAAAGTCAGGTTCTGATAAATGTTGGATCTGTAGTAAGTTACATCCGAGCACATAGGAAATTCCTTTCTGGCCGCTCCAGTCAAAATATTTTTGTTAATAACAGGGAATGTAAGTATTGGTTTGACCAATATTACTTCTAATGCCGCCATATCTTTTCCAACTCTGGGAGTCACTCAACTCCCCGATTGGTGTTTTAGACTGGGGAATACTTCCCACAAGGGAAAGGGAATGTGCTCTCAGTCCATATTAAATATATCTGATCCTGGAAGGAGGGATGGAACTTCTTCTGTGAAACTCTGGCAAGTAAATGGTAGAGCCCTGAATGAAAGTTTAGAAGGGATACAAGACAATGTGGGGAAAACTATGTTTGGAAAACATTTTTTTTTTATTTCACACTTGTTGTCACCCCTGAATTTTGCTCTGCAATACAAAAATTGCCGATCTCCTTGGGAAACAATACCTATATCTGTTGTGGTAAGATCTGTTACCCTTGGATACCGAGTAATGTCCAGGGCTGGTGCTATGTAGCCCAATTAGTGCCAATCATGGCAGCTATAGACCAGAAGGAACACCAGGTAAAAGCCAGTACATACCCAAAACACCAACTAACTCTGAGACAGAGAAGGGAAACCAAACAAGAAAAGGTAGATCTATTCTCTACAGGTGATAAGGTTTGGTCATGGTTCCCTACCTACACTGGATGGGGAATAACACTCATGAACAAAATAAATAATGACACAAACATTATTGATGATATACTGGAGAGGAACTCTAAGGACATGGGGTTGCTAAATACTGAGACCAGAGCTATTAGAGAACAGCTGGAGATGCAAGAATTAGCTATTGAAAGCATGAGTGCTGCTCTGACAGGTCTGTGTGAGATGACAGAGGATTCTGAATGTTGTACTAGGATATATAATACCACAATGACTGTTCCAGATTATTATGAAATAATAAAGCAACACAGGGAACAGGTAGATGGTTTAATGGAAGAAGCTAGAGCTATAGGAAAAGATGGATGGACTCCTTTTGATTGGTTAGGATCAGGATTTGGTTCCGTCTTTTCATGGATGAAAGGTATTGCTGTAAGAATAGTCATGATATTGTTTTTTGTTTTATTTTTATATCTATGTTTTAAATGCTTATTATATTGCATTGCTAGAGCTACCAAGCCGCAAAATACAAATGAAGGTTATCTGGCTATGTACAAAAAGATGAATGAGGTAAAAGAATTGAGATCATGTTCATGATCTAAGAGGGGATTGAAAGGATCTAGAGAACCTCCATTGTGTTGATGTACGCCATTTTAAGTATTAAGTTAGGTTTTTGCAGATATATTTGAAGTTTAATGGAACTGTTTTAGTTTGCTGAAGGATGTATCAACAAAAGATAAGACGACCCTGAAGTTTTCTTTGCCCGGCTATTTCTCAGAAAGCTAGCAAAAACAGTTTATACCAAGAAATGTATATGTCATGTTTCATGTAGTCAGCTCATGATGGAAACTTACAAGTTACAGTTTTAGAACTCGCTCCCCCCCCCTTATTTTTCTGTATCCTATATAATCTTAGTAATGTCTAATACATTTTGAACATCTCTGAACATAAGCTGCCGTTATTTCCGTGTTCAAGGGGTGTCCCCAGAGAATTCTGCCGATAAACCAGGAATCTCTCCACAGACCGGGGGTCTCTGAGGGGATAAAGAAAATCAATCCTTTCACTTACCTGACCTAAATCCAACAGAACACCTCTAGGATATCATGTTTTTGGTCCATCCGACGCCACCAGGTTGCAACCAAACCGGATATCGTTTGTACTCTCCAGCACCTCAGGATATGCACAGCCAAAAGGGAAGCCAAGGGAACCAGGACAGCGACAACCAAAGGAAATGCTTCAGGGGTGCAGCCCTCCTCAGACGGGGAGATCAGCCACTAGATAGAGAATAAACAGGTGCGCACACACCTTGTGCATTATCCAAGGATTATTGAAAGGAGTGAAAAATAAAACCATACTCACGGATGAAGCATGTATCTAAAAAGCATTTGCATAATGACGATGGCCACAACGGCAAGCAAGGTGTTCCAAGTGTCAGTGCAGTCAAATGACTGACGCGTTTCGGGGATGAATCCCTTTCCTCAGAGCTCATGACCAGCCTCTGATGCAGATGTGTAGTGGATGGATGATGGGAGTATTGCTGGTGATATTCTTATTAGAAGCCTCCCCGATGTTGTCAGGCATGAATACAAGCACATGGGGGCCATACAGACTACTGAGGACCATTCTGAGTTGCTGCAATGACATTTCAGCACAATGGATGACAGGCGGTGCCACCTGTGAGACTCGGCATGTGAAGGTAAAATTGCTGCACTGTGAAGCTAAGCATGGAGGTCACAGCAATGTGTACTCACCCAATCAGCTGCTTTCTTCATTTAGAGGTAAGTGATCAGGGGGCGGGTCTGTGACATCATCCTCTTCTAAACCCCTCCCATCTGACCGTGCCCATTACTCTCCATGGCATGCCGAGCAGAACTTGGTTTTCATGTGTCTGCGTTGGGCTGATTTGTGGTCACCATGGATTGAATTATTAGGTGTAAACCAGGCAGATGGCTTGTTCTGGGGATTGTCAGTGATCACATGTCCTGTTATATGGATTCAATATCCATCGTCTGACATCCTAACAGGAGTTCTGTCATTTTTCAGGATGTCAGGAAAAACATGTCCTCCGTCAGTAAATGTTCATGTTGTGTCAGTAATAAAAGTCACGGAGGGTTGGGAACCCTGCAAGGGGGGCAGAGATATGTGACTGCCTAGTCCAGCATTTCTCAGCCAGGGTTCCTCCAAAGGGTTCTAGGGCTTCCTTGTCACTTCATTGGGCTGTATATGGAAGTGTCACCGACCAGCCGTTTCTGGATACACAGCTTTGTCATCATTGCACACACACACCCATTTTGTTTTTCATTCAATACATTTTTTATTATAATTTCACTTTTAACATGATTGCAGTCATAGAATCAGGAAATAACAAAGGTAGGAATCTGATTGGTCAGGAAGATTCCTTGTCTGGAATGTGGGGGCGGAGTCATTATTATTGGTGTACAATACAATACACAACGTGTTCCATTATTATAACAAAGTATTGTAGAAAAGATCCCAACATGTGACATGGCTGAATGAATGCTGGTCATATTAGTTCATCTGTTCTCTAAGTGGGGTGGTAACTATTGGGCCAATCCCTTTTACAAACCACACATATATCGCCCTTCAAAGTGAAAACAGAAACGATTTGCACAAAATCAAAGAGTAGAAATATTTTCCGGTGGATCCCCTCTACCCTGACCCCATATGTAGACATAGAACAAGAAAGCTGTGTTCCCTCTCGTGCCGCACTCCTCCAACCACCCAAACCCACACAGAAGCCAAGGGAAATAATGAGAGGAAAGTTCCCCCTAGTTTGGGGCGGAGTTCTCCTTCCCTCCTGTTGGGGGATGGGAGAAGGATGGACTGAAGACAGAGAGACGCTTCGGGGTCACCACTGTTCTGTAGAGCCTTGAAATGAAGGACATCAACTTCAGAAGTTCTTGTTGTCTGTGTAAAGTTCCCCGATAACGAGATCTGGGCTCTCCGGCTTCTAGCTCTGTAACCCGCTATATCATTATCAGGAAACGCAACTCCGACACCCAAGAAGGGCTGAAGTTGTGTCCTTCATCTCCAGGATCTACTGACCACTCTGCACCCCGACATTTACTGCACTTCATCCATGTCTTTGGGGGCCCTCTCATCTCCTTATCAACTGTTTCTTCCATGATGAAGATCAGCCATGGAGTATATCTGAGGTGTATATCAGGGTGTGCTTCTTCCCCACATGAGAGCTGGGATGTCCAGCAACATTCATCTAGAAGACATTTCCCGCACTCAAGGCACTAATATACCTCCAGGGTTGTGTGGGATCCCTGATGTACAGGAAGACAGGACCTCAGTGAGGAACATTTCCCTCACTCAGGACAGGAAACTGGCTTCTCCCCGTGTGAGATCTCTGGTGTGTGTAAAGATTGGACTTCCTTGTAAAACATTTCCTACACTCAGGACAGGAATATGCCTTCTCCCCCATGTGAGATCTCTGATGTCTGTAAAGATTGGGCTTGTCTGAAAAACATTTCCTGCACTCAGGACAGGAATATGGCTTCTCCCCTGTGTGAGATCTCTGATGTGTGTAAAGACTGGACTTCACTGAAAAACATTTCCCGCACTCAGGACAGGAATATGGTTTCTCCCCCGTGTGACATCTCTGATGTCTGTAAAGATCAGTTTTCTGTGAAAAACATTTGCCGCACTCAGAACAGGAAAGTGGCTTCTCCCCCGTGTGAGATCTCTGATGGCTGGAAAGATTGGTCTTCTGTGAAAAACATTTCCCGCACTCAGGACAGGAATATGGCTTCTCCCCCGTGTGACATGTCTGATGTGTGTAAAGATGGGACTGCTGTGAAAAACATTTCCCGCACTCAGGACAGGAAAATGGCTTCTCCCCCGTGTGACATCTTTGATGTGTGGAAAGATATGACTTATTTGAAAAACATTTCCCGCACTCAGGACAGGAATATGGCTTCTCCTCCGTGTGACATCTCTGATGTCTGTAAAGATCGGATTTCTGTGAAAAACATTTCCTGCACTCAGGACAGGAAAACAGCTTCTTCCCCCTGTGACATCTTCGATGTGTGTGCAAAGATATGACTTATTTGAAACACATTTCCCACACTCAGGACAGGAACACGGTTTTTGCCCCGTATGCGATCTCTGATGTCTGTAAAGATTGGACCTTTGTGAAAAACATTTCCCGCACTTAGGGCAAGAATACGGCTTCTCTCCTGTGTGAGATCTTTTTTGAACGTTAAGTTTGGATTTGAAATGGAACCACTTCCCGCACTCAGTACAGGAGAATCTCTCCCCTGTTGGAAGGCCGGCCCGGTCCCGCACAGTCTGAGGTTCCTCAGGATACGGGAATCCGATGGTCCATCTACACTGGGTGGTGCCGGATGGACATTGGAGGGAGCCGGGTTTTCTCCTGGACTATACTGTGTGATGTCCTCATCTTCTACTTTCCAGTCTGGAGACAAAGTGAGACAATCCTCGGAGGTTTTCCTCATCTCCCGGCCATGGACTAAAATACAAAGACAAAGAGGATTACTAGACAGGAGCTGATTGGTTCCCCCAAACCAGGACTCCGCCCACATCAGGCAGCTTGGTCTCTGAGGAGCTTACAATTCCACCCTCAAGGGAACTAGGAAATGGCTCCTCTGATCTCCTACCAGGTCATTTCTTTATTCATGGACCTTAGTCAGAGAGTGAGGAAACAACCAGAACTGTCTTTTATAGGAGGGACAGTGATGAGGGGATTATAGGACGAGGGTCCCCACCCCCTCTATCACTCATCGCCATCTTCCCAACACAAGAAGTACTGCACTTCCTTATTTAGTCCATGATTTAGTCATGAAGAACAGCGGGGCTGAGCCCCACCAGAGGTCAGAGAGTGAGGATGGGGGGAGAACAACCAAGATGAAGACTGGACTGATCCTGAAGACCACCATCATTGGGTTATTGACTCCTCCCTCATTATCACTTTCACTTTCTTCCCACCACAGACAATTTTCAACTGTCAGCACTCTCACACTTTGAATGACAATTACTCGTGCAAATCATGCAATGCTGTACCCATATTACATTTGTATCGTTTTTTTCACCCAATTGAGCTTTCTTTTGGTGGTATTTAATCACCGCTTGTGTGTGTGTGTTTTTTTTTTTTTTGTTTTGTTTTTTTTTTATCAACAAAAAAAAAAAAGACTAAAAATTTTGCAAAAATTGCATTTTTCTTAGTTTTTGTAATAACATTTTACAAATAAGTAATTTTTCTTCATTCATTTTGGCCAAAATCTGTGTATTTTATATAGTCTGTGAGAAAGTTATAGAGTCTACATACTATGGTACCGATCACTGAAAACTGACCAATCCTAATGTACCGACATCATTTCTTGAGGCCCTTAAAATGTCAGGACGGTACAAATCCCCCCAAATGTCCAAACAGTACAAATCCCCCCCCAAATGCCAGGACAGTACAAATCCTCTCAAATGTCAGGACGGTGCAAATCCCCCCAAATGTTAAGACAGTACCCCCCAAATGTACAAAAATCCCCCCAAATGTCAGGACAGGTGCAAATCCCCCAAATGTCAGGACAGGTGCAAATCCCCCAAATGTCAAGACGGTGCAAATCCCCCCAAATGTCAGGACAGTACAAATCCCCCCAAATGTCAGTACGGTACAAATCCCCCCAAATGTCCAGACAGTACTGTGACATAAATGTACAGATTTGAGTAGCTGAAATGTGACCTGTAGCAATATGTAATCATAAATTTAGTTCAGTCCTTATCATGAAAGAAATATTCAGTCATAGACAGAGGCATATGTTCATTCATTAGCATCTGAAAAGAGACAGAGCTTCCTCAGGCTGGAAATGGCACCTGGGTGCTAATAAGATTTTGTCAATATATGTAATCAGACTTTGCCATCTTCCTGAAGTTTAAAAGAGAAATGCAGACGTTTCGACTTCATGACACCAGGGGGGCTCCGATCTGTCTCGGGAGCTCTAAAAGTATATACATAGATCAAAGGAGTATGTTTCATCCCTCATAAAAGCTAAAATAATAGTTGCAGAGAGATGAAAATACTTCCTTCTGATGGGGCACTCTGTGGGCTACATCGGCATATAAAAACTATATTTGTGTCTATGTAGAATGCCAGGAAAACGCAGGAAATGGTTATGTGTAGCTGGAGTGCGATAGTGGAACAGTGATTGGTACCGTCGCAATTCGACTGATGCGCTGGTGTCGGAAATTCAATCCCCGACTTGGTGATTCAAGCCGGTCTTGGTCCAATTGACTTTGGGCAGTTCAGCACGCAGAACAGCCTGTGGGCGGGTACAGGAACACCCCCCAGAGTCAATTGGCCCAGAACTCATGTCCAGCCCACGTCCATATTCCCATAAATTGAGGACTGGAGATATGGACAGGGTAATTCGTATGGAGCCGGTTCTATTTGACTGACAAATTGCTGACTCTCTGACTTGCTCCAGATAAATCTTGGTAAAAGTTTTATTTCTGTCTTTTATTCCCTTTTATATTATAGTGAATAGTCATTTGTGTGTCTTCTTGTAGTTTTATTTATTTATTTCAGGTAGTTATATAGCGCCGTCAATTTATGCAGCACTTTACATATATATTGTACATTCTCATCAGTCCCTAACCCTCAAGGGGCGTACAATCTAAGGTCCCTAACTCACATTCATACATACACATACTAGGGACAATTTAGACAGGATCCAATTAACCTACCAGCATGTCTTTGGAGTGTGGGAGGAAACCAGAGCACCCGGAGGAAACCCACGCAGGCACAGGGAGAACATGCAAACTCCAGGCAGGTGGTGCCATGGCTGGGATTCAAACCAATGAACCTAGTGCTGCCAGGCGGAAGTGCTAACCATTTAGCCACTGTGCTGCCCCACCATTTAGCCACTGTGCTGTAGTTTTTGTATTTTCTGTAACTTTTTATACTTTGTACATCACCGGAGGTCCTGCGGCCCCTGCCTGACACCCAAGGAGGGGTGCTAGGCGCGTTGTCCCTCTGGTGGAGCTCCGGCAGTTTGCGGCCTGTGAAGCCGCGGTCTTTCCTGCTGCCATGGCCGGAGCGAGGCCGAAGCGAGCCCCCCCCCTGCCATTGGCCCGCTCCTGGGGTGCTCTGTGTGTGGCCCCCCAGCCTCCTCATTGGCTCTGGGGATCAACGCCAGGCCCACACAGTCGGTAATAAGGCCTGGAGGCCCAGCGTAATGGAAGAGTGGCCCTGACAGGCCTGGAGGCCTACCCCATCTGCCCCCTTTCTATTGGGGGTGAACTGGTTGCCCCTGTGCCCCCTCTGCGGGCCTCCATTGCGGGCCTTCTTTGCTGCCATCTGCCTGGCCTGGATGTCATGGACCCACATGCCCCACCTGTTGCTGAGATCCAGGGGCCTATGCCCGCTCTGCCTGGGACTCCATCACCCTAAAGGACCAGAAGCGAGCCTGCTTCCATGCCGCTGAACCAAGCAGATGACCCCAGCCTGGTGAAGCCTACCATCGCCCTCCACGTCGCAACCCTACTTCCACGCCCCCGAACCCAGCAGACGACCCCAGCCTGGTGAGGCCTACCATCGCCCTCCACGTTGCAACCCTGCCTGGACTTGCCGAGCCCAATGGACGATCTCGATCTGGTGAGGCCTACCATCGCCCTCCACGTCGCAACCCTACTTCCATGCCACTGAACCCAGCAGAAGACCCCAGCATGATGAGGCAACCCTACTTCCACGCTGCCGAACCCCGCAGATGACCCCAGCCTGGTGAGGCCTACCACCGCCCTCCACGTCGCAACCCTGCCAGGACCTGCTGAGCCCAATGGACGATCTCAACCTGGTGAGGCCTACCATCGCATACCCCGGGACAACCCTGCCCTGACCCACAGTCCATCTGACGCTTGACTACTTGTAACGGACACAAAGATTTGATCAGTGGAAATATGGAATCATAGCCATAGCAGGTTGAGTAATTAGATTAGGTCAGGCCTTTTCATTACAAATATGTATTCAGGAACAGCCCTTTTCATTAAGGATGTATATTGAGTCCCTTGACATTAGGGAAATGAATAGGCATTACAGACAGTAGTCATCAATTAGCATTAATTAGTCTAAAGCCAGGCCTCCTGGAGGTGACACCTTTGTGTTAATTAGATTATCACCTGCTGGGAAAACCAGTTTGGGAACTAATTACAGCAGACAGGGCAGCTGCCTGATGTGGAAAGCCCTATAGGTATAGTCATGCATTCATCAAAGGAGTATGTTTAATCTCTTATAAAGCTGGAAAATTAGTTGGAGAGATATGAACATGCTCCCTTTGTGCAGGGCATGCTGTGCGCTGCATTTGCACAAACAAAATCATATTTGTGGCTTAGGGAAAATACCAGGAAAATGAAGGGAATGGTTAGGTGGCGCTGGATCACGACAGTCGAACAGTGTTTGGTACTGTCGCGATCGGACTGATTCGCTGGTGTCGGAAATCCAATCCCCGACTTGGTGTTCAGGCCAGTCTTGGCCCGATTGAACTTGGGCAGGTCCACACACAGTACCTCTTGTGGGCAGGTCAGGACCACCTCCCCCAGGGTCAATTGGCCGAAGACTAATGTCCCGCCCATGTCCATATCCCAATAAATTGAGTACATGGACATTTGGACATGGGTGATCGTACGGAGCTGGTTCGATTGACCAATGGATTGCTAATTTTCTGGCTTGCTCCAGCCGCAGAGTAAAGTGTTATTCTGTCTTTTATTCCCTTTTTATTTTATAGTAATTAGTCATTTGTGTGTCTTCTTATATCTTTTGTATTTTCTGTAACTTTTTATATTTTGTACATATTTTATGCACCGCCCACTTTGGGAAATTAAATCTTAAAATTAATTAGTGAACTTCTGAGTATTTAAGCACGTGCTCATATCTTCGGAGAGACGAGATCAGAGAGACTAGATTGGAGAGACTAGATCGGAGAGATTAGATTGGAGAGATTAGATTGGGTTAGATTGTATTGTATTTTAGTGCCTTTAAAACGCTCGGTCAAGCTCATTGCCAATCTGTA